CTCCTCCTCTTTCTCCTGCTCCTCCTCCTCCTCCTCCTCCTCCTCCTCCTCCTCCTCTTCCTTCTCCTCATCCTCCTTCTCCATTTCCTCCTCTTCCTCCTCCGTTTCCCCCTCCTTTTCCTCCTCCGCCTCCTGGGAGACGGAGTACGCCTGCAGGGTCACTTGGAGGCACAAGTTCTCTGGGCGTCGTCGTCGAGCATCGTCATCGTCGTGTTTTTTCGCCGTCGTCCTGGCTTCGGCGTCACCCCGACATACTTATACTATGTGTGCGTCGCCACCTTTTGGGGCGACGCGCGCTTTCTGGCCGCACAGCTCTGGACACAATCTACTACAAGATGGGTAGAGTATATGTTCGGGTCGGGCGCGCGCCTCCAAGGAGGACAGACAGTATTAGCATGTCTCTGTGCGTCTCATGGCTCGGGCGTGTGCGTCTTTCCTCGGCGAGGACCCTCGAGGCGCATCTCCCGGCGGAAAGATCAACGCACGAAGTCGAACAGTGCACGGGGGATGGACGCCCGAGCGATGGCAAGCTGGAACAGGCGTCGCCAGTGGCGGATCAGCTGCTGTTTCCCCAGCAGGCTTCTGCCCTCCCGCCGACCCCCAGGAGGGGAGACGTGTGGTTTCCGGTTCGGCATGTGTTCGGTATGCGTTCTTCGCCGTTTCCTGTCGTTGTACCTGCGGGTAGCTCTCTGTTGATTCGTGTGCCAGGGCTCGGCCCTTTTTCTGAGGGCAGGGCACGCGGGCCCTCTGCGTGAGCATCCCGCGCGCGGCGGCCTTCCACATGTTCCGCATCCCAAGCCAAACTGTGCGCGTCCCCAGCTGCCCCGGTGCCTGTTGCGGGGGCGGCGGGCTTCGAAGCCGCCTCCTCGGAAGTCTCCAGGGCCTTCTAAAAGGGCCCCTCCTCCCCCTCCCCACTCCTCACTCCTCACTCCTGACTCCTCACTCCTCGCTCCTCCTCCTCCTCCTCCTCCTCCTCCTCCTCCTCCTCCCCCCCCTCCTCCTCCTCCTGCTCATCCTCCCTCCTCCTCCTCCTCCTCCTCCTCCTTCTCCTCCTCCTCCTCCTCCTCCTCCTCCTCCTCCTCCTCCTCACTCCTCACTCCTTTTTCCTCACTCCTCGCTCCCCTCCTCCTGCTCTCCCTCCCTCCCCCTACACCTCCTCCTCCTCCCCCCTCCTCCTCCTCCTTCCTCCTCCTCCCTCCTCCTCCTCCTCCTCCTCTCCGCCTCTCATCCTCTCCTCCTCCCTCCTCCTCCTCCTCCTCCTCCTCATCCTCCTCCTCCTCCTCTCTCATCCTCCATCCCCTTCCTCTCCGCCGCCTCCTCCCTCCGCCCTCTTAGAAGGCCCCCCCCCTGGCGCCACCCCTTCGTGGGCGCCGCGAGGCGCCCTCCGCCCGCCAGTCCTCGGCAGCCGCTGGCCCATCGCGCGGGTGCTGGCCTCCCACCGCTGGGGCTCCGCGGAGAGCGCGGAGGGCGGCGCGGCGGGCGCCGCCGCGGCGGGCGCCGCCGAGGCGGGCGCCGCCGAGGCGGGCTCCGAGGTCGCTCAGCAGGACCTCGGGCGCGAGGGTGGCGCTTCCTCGTGATCGTTCTTATTCATCGTTTTGCCGATCGGCGCGTGCCCTCGTCTCCCCCCGCCCCCTCCCCGTGGAGTAGATCTCGGCTGTGTTTGGCGCCTGTTTCGAGCAGGTGGAATCCCTCCCACCTGGGACGCACTGCTGCAAACAATCGCGTTAAGCAGAGGTCCGGAGCCAGACCCCCCCCTGCCCCCCCTTCCGCCCAAGGTCGAAACGCCGAATAAGAAAACGCTCCTCCGCATCTGGATGTGTTCACGGTGCTCGATGTGTCGGTTCTAGTTGCCGTGTTGCGTGCGCGCTTCGCCGAGGACAAGGGGGAGTCGTGTTTCGGGGACAAAAGGACCTCGGGTGCGAGAGCTTCGCCAGGCCCGTTCTGGACTGGGCGGGCTTCAAGGGCGTCTTCGCCCAGGAATCGAGGGAGAGAAAACGGCGTGAGCATCAGCTCTCGGAGGTCCGTGCGGACTTCTGATGCACTTTCCGAGGATGCGTGCGCCGACGTAGCCACAAACATCAACCTCTGGATCGGCGCTGGATCCCCGCCCGCGAGGGAGGGAGGGTGCCCAGCGCCGAGCCAAGAAGTCCACGCGGGCCTCCGAACGTTCATGCCCGTGCAGTTTTGGGCGTGTCCAAACGAGAACAACTGGTACCAGGGCGCCGTGGACGTGGCGTACGGCCCGGAGCTCGAGCGCGGGTGGCGCGAGGCGGCCTTGGAGTGCCCGCTGGGCTTCACCGTGGCCAACCTCATCAAGGCGATGCTGTGCGCGCACACGGAGTCCATCTGCTTCCGCGCGCACGCGGTCGCCTGCTTTCGGGCGCGTCCGCCGACTCCAGGCACAGCCTGGGGCATCTAAGCCGTGCGACCCCCGTCTGGGGGGGGGGGGCTCAGCGGCTTCCGCACCCCTCTCGAGAGACCGCCGACATGATGGGTTCCCCAGGAGGGGAGGGGGGAAGGGAGCGAGAAGGGGGGGCGCGGTGTCGAGGTGAGGGCCAGGGTTTTGGGAGGAAGGGGGAGGGGGAGGCGAGGGGAGGGGGAGGGAGGGGAGGGGAGAGCGAGGGCATGGGGGACGGGGAGTGATATGTGTTGGGATGGTGATGTTGCTGAGGATAGTGGTAGTGATGAAACAGAAGCTGCTGAAGATGATACTGATGATGGTGATGCTGATGCTGATGCTGATGCTGATGCTGATGATGATGTTTATGATGTTTATGTTTATGATGATGGTGATGCTGATGCTGATGATGCTGACGATGATGATGATGATGATAATGCTGATGATGATGGTGATGATGATGATGATGATGATGATGATGATGATGATGGTGATGATGATGTTGATGTTGATGTTGATGACGATGATGACGATGACGATGATGATGATGATGATGATGATGATGATGATGATGATGATGATGATGATGATGGTGGTGGTGGTGGTGGTGGTTGTGGTAGCGGCAGTGACGGTGGGCATTATTGTTATGATGCTGATGATGATGATGATGATGATGATGATGATGATGATGAAGTTGATGAGGACAATGATTGTGATGGTGGTGTTGGTGGCGGTGGCGGTGGTGATGATCATGGTGGTGTTGTTGATGGCGATGATGGTGGTGTTGATGATAATGCGGCGACGGGGAAGGTTGGGAGGAGGAGGAAGAGGAGGAGGAGGAGGAGAATAAGGAGGAATAGTATGATGATAATGATGATGAGGAGGAGCATGAGAAAAAATATGAATATGATGAGGAGGACGAGGTGGAAGAGGATTCTGATGATGGAGGGAAAAAAGAACCATAGTACGCACAGCAGGCATCAATCGTGCTGCACACACACACACACACCCTTTCTGCGCCAAGTTCCCATATCATTAGTCTCCGCACACACGAACCCCTTGAAGAACGAATTCGCGATTGGCGTGCCATCATGTCCAGGGCCGCATTTTTTTTAAGATGCGCGCTCCGCCACTCCAGCTGCCAGAGAAGCCAAGAGCTGCGACCAGAACGGCAAGGGATGCTTCCAGCGGGGAAATGAGGCGCCACAGCTCCGTGCAGCTGTCCCACACGGTGAAGGCCTGGGTCGCAGGATCCAAGGAAGTGTCGACCGAGAGCCCCACTTCGAAAATTTAATCGCTTCGCCCATTCCGCCGGCCCACATTGTATCGCTGGTGCTATATGTTTGTGTGTTCGTGGCGAGCGAGAAGAAGTTGGAGGAGGGAGGAGGAGGAGGAGGATGAAGAGGGGAGGATGAGGACGAGGAGGCGGTCTCTCGATGGCTTCTTGGAGTATTTTTGGGGCCAACCCTGGTCGTGGACAAGACGCCTCTTTGGGAGGCTTCGTCCCCCATCCTTCGAGAGCTACTTCGAAAATTATTCATCCTCCATCCGTACGTGTCAGTTGGGAACTGTCAATTATTCAGCTGCGTGCGGCGAACTCCGCCGCTGTGCCTGGGCGGCAGCGCAGCGTGAAGGCTGTTCAAGAGTCATGGCAGTTCAGCGCGCGGTCTGAATTCGTTTCCCCTCGATTGAGGGGGGGGGGCCTTCTGAGAGGCCTCTCGGGGCATCCTGGGGTATCTGGGGGTCTCGTGGGGCCTCTTGCGGGCACCTTGTGCCGCATTAGGGCGGCCTTGGCTTGGCTGATACCGCCTCCAAGCCGTCTTGGGCCCTTTTTTGGGCGCTGTTGTGCCGTCTCGGAGGTCCTTTAGACCGTCTGAGGGTGGTAGGGGCCAAAAAGGGCTCGAGAGACGCTCCCCAGAGAGCCCGAGGGGCGTAATTGAGGTCCTCCCGAAGACCCAGCGAGATCCAAGAGGGCCTCAATGCGGCCCACGTCTCCCAAGACGGCCCAAGAGGCCCCTAAGACTGCCCAGGCGGGCAGTGGAGGCATGACACATCGATGTCTTACAGTAAGGTTGGTCACTGAGTTGTTGGCTATCGAATCTTCTGGCCAAGATCACCCGCAGACCGCTTCCCAGGGTTCCCCAAGACTGTCCAGGGGGCTTCCAAGACGGCCCAAGAGGGCCCCAAGGCGGCCACAGAGCCTGAAGAGGGGCCAACGATGGCCCCAGGAGGCCCCCGAGAGAGCCCAAGAGGGTCATAGTACGCCCCAAAGAGTCCCCGAGAGGGCGTCAAGGCAGCCCGAGACTCCCAAGACGGCCCAAGGGGCCCTCAGGTTCTCAAAGGGCTACAAGACGGCCCAAGACTGCCCAAGAGGCCCCCAGGACGGCCCAAGAGGCCACCCGAAGAACCCCAAGAGGACCCATCCAAGATTACGTGAGGAGGCAAAGGGCATGAAGTCTCTGGTGTGTCTTTCACTTATGCGGGGGAGAGGCGAGGAGGAGCGGCGGCACTGGTGGAGGCTGAGGCCGTCGTGCTGCGAGCCGCCGCTGCCGCCACAACGCTTGTCGGGGCCGAGGTCGCGCGGGGAGCTCCACACTCGGGGTCTCGTCGGGGCACGCGGGGGCGACGCAGGGTTGCACTGCGGTCGGGGGGCGTTGGTCAAGGAATGTGCGCAGGCGGCTGCCGACCCTGGGGGTTCCTTGTCTGATGGGGGCGGCAGTGATGCCCATGGCCCGTCCACGATTCGAGTTCCACTGGCCTCCAGACCCTGGATTTATTCAACGCTTCCTTATCCAGTGCCCCACGAAGCTCTCTGCTCGCCCTTGCTCGCGGAGGAGCACTTGACACGCGTGCGGAGCTGCACTGCCGATGCCACGCTCTCCGTGTGGCTTGAAGGCTTCGCTGCGCTCCTGCTCTGCACGCACGCCGCTGGAGGCGGCGGAGGGCTTGAGAGATCCATCCCACCCCTGGGAATGGCGTCCCCATGCCTTTGTCTTGTCCACCTCCTCACACCTCCTCGGGGTCCTCCCTCTCCTCCCCTGCTCCCTCTCCTGCCCCCCACTCCCCCTACCACGACACGTCCCCCTCCTTCCACCTGTCCCTCCTCCCTCTCCTCCCCCTCCTTCCGCTTTCCCCCCTGCTCCCCCGGCTCCCTTTTCTCTCCATTCGTATCTTGCGCCTCCTCCTGTTACTGCTGCTCTTCACCTTGGTCATCCTCGTTCTTGTCGTCGTCGTCGCACTCCTCCTCCTCCTCCCCCAACCCTCCTTGGTTGGGTATTCGTTTTGAATAGAGCACTGCGGTCTCCAGTCCTCCTCCTCATCCTCCTCCTCCTCCTATTCCTCCCGCCTCCCACTTCCGTCGTGTCTCCTCTTGCATTGCGCGTACCTCGTGTGTGTGCGTGTGAGTGTGTGTGCGGGTGCATCCTGGCTGCATAGTGAGGCACCGCGGGGATCTGAGCGAAACCTCGCCGCCCCTGGGGGCTGCGATCAGCGACACGGTCGCCACTTTCGAGGGCTGTTGGTGGGTCCTGCTGGGTGAGGCACCGCGGCGATCCGAGCGAGACCTCGCCGGCCCTGGGGGGCTGCGATCTGCGACACGGTCGCCACTTTCGAGGGCTGTTGGTGGGTCCTGCTGGGTGAGGCACCGCGGGGGTCTGAGCGAAACCTCGCCGCCTTTGGCCGCCCTTGGGGGGCTGCGATCTGCGACACTGTCGCCACTTTCGAGGGTCCTGCGGAGCGAGGCACCGCGGGGATCTGAGCGAGGCCTCGCCTCCTCTGGGGGGCTGCGATCTGCGACGCTGTCGCCACTTTCGAGGGCTCCTGGTGGGTCCTGCTGGGTGAGGCACCGCGGGGATCCGAGCGAGACCTCGCCGTCCCTGGGGGGCTGCGATCTGCGACACGGTCGCCACTTTCGAGGGCTGTTGGTGAGTCCTGCGGAGTGAGGCACCGCGGGGGTCTGAGCGAGACATCGCCGCCACTGGGGGCTGCGATCTGCGACACTGTCGCCACTTTCGAGGGCTGCTGGTGGGTCCTGCGGAGTGAGGCACCGCGGGGATCTGATTGAGCCCTCGCCGTCCTTGGGGGGCTGCGATCTGCGACACTGTCGCCACTTTCGAGGGCTGCTGGTCGTCCTGCGGAGTGAGGCATCGCCGGGGATCTTAGCGAGACCATGCCCTCCCTGAGGGGCTGCGATCTGCGACGCTGTCGCCACTTTCGAGGGTCCTGCGGAGCGAGGCACCGCGGGGATCTGAGCGAGGCCTCGCCGCCTCTGGGGGGCTGCGATCTGCGACGCTGTCGCCACTTTCGAGGGCTCCTGGTGGGTCCTGTGGAGTGAGGCACCGCGGGGATCCGAGCGAGACCTCGCCGTCCCTGGGGGGCTGCGATCTGCGACACGGTCGCCACTTTCGAGGGCTGCTGGTGGGTCCTGCGGAGTGAGGCACCGCGGGGATCTGAGCGAGACCTCGCCGTCCCTGGGGGGGTGCGATCTGCGACGCTGTCGCCACTTTCGAGGGCTGCTGGAGGGTCCTGCGGAGTGAGGCATCGCCGGGGATCTGAGCGAGACCTCGCCGTCCCTGGGGGGCTCTGGAGAGTTGCTGCGGGATACGTCAGGCGCAACGGGCGCGTGGCACAGCCAACGGGGAAGATTTGTGAAGCGGACCATCTGCCCGGCGATGCCCATAACGTTGCGCCTACACGTATCCCGCGGGGGTTCTCAAGAGCTGCTGTGGGATATGTTGGGTGCAACGGGCGCATGGCACAGCCAACGGGGGTGATTTGTTATTACGTAGCCCTTGTATCTTGATCGGGGGCCTGCGAACCTTCCGACTGCTGCTCGCAAAATCACTTGCGTCCATGTTACGTCATCGCCCTCGTTGTAGCAATCCTGATGGACTTATGCCCCGCATTGCGCAAGGGTTGGGTACGTCGCCAGGGTAATTTGCATCTGGTCTGGCTGGACTGGTTGGTCT